AAATAAAAGTGGTGTCTATTTATTTTCAATTTATCTTTTTTTTTTAAATGATCATTTATTTATTATATTTTATTATGGCACTTAATCTTTCTCAACTCTGTTAATATATATAATGTTAATATATAATAAGACCTGCTGGAGAAAGGCATCTCTGCTCAGGGTCCCGCCGCTATGGCGGCACCCAAAAAGCCTCTTTCTCTACGTCTTCGTCCCAGCACTCCTCCAAACTCCCCATGCCCCTCCCCTGTGCCCTTCGACTCCCGATCCACCTCTTCGGACAACTTCTTGGCGTCCCGTCCCGCTGAGCTCTTCCTGCAAGATGTTTACGGGCTGAAACTTGGCCGTGCCCCGCGACCGGATCTCCTCAGCCCTGAACGATCCCCTCATGGGCAATCGATCAAACCCGACTGCCACGCCGTCAACCTCATGGAGCATCTCCGCAAACTAGGCTTGGATAAAAAAGTCCTCCAAGGGTCAGACGCCGAAGGCACACATCCACAGGAATCTGCCACCTTCCTAGCAACAGGAGGCGGCAGCTTATTGGATGGGCTTCGGCGAAATCAAAGTCTGCCTGCTATGGTTGGCCGCCGTAGCGCATCTGTCTCCAGTCCGTCCTTTCCTGTCCCGCCCCCTCACCCTACTCACCTCGCCCTTCCCACTCCACCATGGAGGAATCTAAACGAACCGCGCCGCACACGTAGACACGCCTCCCTTTCTCAGGCCCCGCCCCACTTGCATAATTCATAAGAATGTGGGCGTGGTCTCTGACCAACAGGAGTGACTTTATATCTATCCCTCATATCCTTGATTAAACCATCTGCTCCTTGGAAAAAGAGGCTGAAAGACATTTAAGGTTGTTTTTAAAGCACAAAAATGAAGTTAAAGTGTCTTGTTGCCATGTTTATGTAAAAATGAAGATTTTAAAGGCCTTGAAGCACTCAAGAGGAAACAGATTTCTAATCCCATTTTTCCCAGTCTAAATTTCTTTTTTCCTTTATTGTTCATTTATGTCTTTATCCTTTATTTAGTTTCCTTAACAAGTCATGGCACTTATTTTCTCTCCATTAACACGTGAGGCTGTGGAGCTGTGAAGTGGTGGATAGATCAGGAAGGGATATGTACGTGTCGAGGGTTGTTGAATGTTGAATCGATGGAAAGAAGTTAAAGGAATGCTATAAAGGACTGGAAATATGAGGGTTTCTGTAGGTTTAATGTGAATTTACTGTCACTTTGATTCACCCTAGTGAATCATATGAACAAGATTGAGGTGATGAACACGAACGAGAATGGAATATGGCAAGTGAAATGGATGGTCGCATCTCCACAGCTTCATTTTAGGGGTTTGTCTTAATTCACTCAGCAGTTCCTGAAAGTTTCTCTGTGTAGTTGTTCAGTCTGTCCTGCATTATAGATAGCTAAAGCCTTTTAGACATTTAGTAGAACATCTACCTGCCCATATTGTCTATTTTTTGCATCGTTACAGGTACAGATGAAAGGTCTAAGCAAGCATTTGTGTCCCTTAGTATGCTGGTGTATCTGGACATAAGCTCCTCTTATTTCTTTGCACTGAATCAACTGGTTATTGGGAAGTTTTGTCACAAAAGAGCAGACCTGGAGTGCTCAGGATATATTTGGGTTTGTAAAGGCACGTGTTCTGCTACATGTAACCTTGTTGAAATAATATTCAGGGACTGTGTATTTAAGGGAAATGAGTGATTTGTTCATATGTACAGTCAAAAGGCATCACTGCAGATTGTACTTTAAGTTTAGCTTAAGAGGATTCTGCAACTGAAACCTGAAGAGAAGGGAGTTTGCATTTACCCCTCTTAAATATAAAGCATAGAAATTGTATTTTAGTGAATACAGAAACCTTTCTAAAGTAGCCCTAAAGATGGTCAACCATTATATTACATGGTCTTGACACTTTGACCCCTGAATTAATTCCTTAAAGACACCGAATGTGCTTCCTTGTCATCTTCACTGATTTCCCTTCTTTCCTCATTTTATGCACTTTTCATTTTTAACCCACTAGAATTGTGTTTTTAGTAAATAGGCATTACGTGTGTTATCTAACAATAAGGTAAGAATAGAGTATGTTAATACATTTAACCTGAGACAGCTAATATTATTTACTAACCTTTCAGCTAAGAGTGGGATTTTAATATATTTCATGTTTTTGGTGGAGTTTGAGAAGGGACTCTAGTTTCATCTAGTTTCTGAATTGTCATTTTCTAAGCCAAAATGTATGTGGATGTGTTTGTTTTTGTGGTAAACGGACTTTTGTGCTTTGTAGTAAATGACATGATGACAGCACAACCATCAGTTTGGTTCAGAAACGGTTGCAGGAGTGACATTTAGTGAGCTTTTGTCAACTATGCCAAGAACACAAACAAATCTAAATGTGGTTCAAACTAAACTTGGTAAAATCAATCACATCATATCACCTCTTCAGAACAATACCAGCATGTTTGCTGCATTTATACATCACTAGCTTTCTCTCTGTTCCCAGCTGAAGTGTACTAAACGCATGACTTGATTTCTGTATCAAAGTGTCTTTATTTACATCCTGCTGTTGATGTCAATAAGCTCTCTGCTGCCATTGAGGTCAAAGGTCAATGCTTGAAGATGATGCCACAAGCTGTGACATCAAGCACCATGTGATTTCTTTTGTGCTGTTGACATGGTGTGTTTTCCTGTGTTTAGCTGTCAGAACCCTGTGTCAGCCGTGTATTGTTGGATTTTTTTATAATAAAACATGCAAATTCAACTTCGGTGTCCCTGGTATTTCATCCCGAGGAGTTTGATAACTATACACAGGAGCTAAAATGTTCTTTTTATTCAAGTTAATTTTAAGTGTACAAACAATTTTGGTATATTATACTGACAGTACAAATCATTATTATATTGCTTTACATTATTTTTTTCCCTTAAAGGATGGATAAACGGGTGTCTAGAAGAGAAAAATACATTTATTTTGCATTTTAAAAAATTAAACATCTCTTTCATTATCGTTCTTATTACGGTGAATAAACTATTTTATTTTTTTAGATTAAAAAAAAAACTGTCTTGCTGTACTGCCAATATTAAAATTATAATTGCATGATGAGAATTACAAACAAATATTGAGCAATAAGCTATGAAAGTGAAAATGTGCTGAATTTTAATAAAAATAAAACTGAAGCCAGAACAATTATTTTTAAGTATAATTTAATTACATATTTAAATTTATATTAATAATTATTTTAATACTTTATATTAGTAATGATTTGCCATAACCATACAATCCAAAAAAAGGGTGGGAAAAACATGTTCAATGGAAAGAATATATATATATTTTGCATAAAATAAATCATGTTTCAAACCATTTAAGAGATTTAAGGTATGCATTTGTATGGCAATTAAGCATAATTACATCTCACTTCTCATTACTATAATTAAAAAAATTATAATTATAATTTATTAGTTATATGAATAAAATATTTTACGGATTTAAAAAATGTCTAGACAGAATGATTAACATGGCTGTATTGCAGAAATGAAAATCATAATTATAAAATTGTACAAAAAATGCTGAATCTTGAAAAATTTCGGTCTTACCAATAGGCTTCATTTTCGTTATGCAAAATATAATTTATTATTTTTTCTTTGGATTTTTGGTGAAATATGACCTGCATATGTTTTTGTGAGATTCACTCAGTTCACAAGGGACAGATTTTAATGCTGTCTGACGCAGAGCTGAACTGCCCCATGGCAAAACCTAGCCCCACGCCGACCCCACAGCCCACCCCGAACGCAGTGTACAGCGATGCTGGGAACGACCATTGAAACGTGTGGAGAGGAACCAACTCATCATCCACGCTATAGAAAGTCAGAGTCCCTGCGGTCCTGTCCAGAAACACCCCGACACGAGGGCTGTAGGTCACAGGGATCTCCACCTTCTGATTGCCGTGCATGGCTGCGCAGCACATGTCTGACAGCTCCAAGCTCCATGATTGGCTGTTATACCCAAGCCCCGCCCTTGAATTTGCCCCTTTGCGGGGTATGGAACCACTGACCACACCCAGATAGGAGCCACGCCCCCTCCACTCCACCTCCCAGTAGCAGCGGTCGGAGGAGAGGGGGTGGAGACAGAGCACCTGCGTCCAGCCGTCGAAGCGCTGAGGGAGGTCAAGGTACAGCCGAGACGTCTGCTGAAGCGTGGCTACAGTGTCTCCATCAGACAGGACCAGACGCCGATGGGCTGTGTTTGGATCCAGGGTCAAATCACAAGCATCTAATGGGGAGAGAGAGAGAGATAAGAGAAAGAGACAGACAGAGAGATATAGATGAGAAAGTGAACTTGAAATAGAATGAAAAGAACAATACATGAGGAATAAACTCACATTGCAAGAACTCATCTTTGGTTCTGGGCTCTGGGGCCTGAATACTGTCAATGTTAATTTCTCTCACTATAAAAAAAAAAGAAGAAAATGTCAGACAAAAGAAACAGGCTGTAAGAAAATATGAAAACTTGCATATTTGAAAAAAAATTATGCTGTTTTGAAAAATAAAATGGACACATTTTAATAGGACATTAAAGTGACACTATTCTATTTCTGATTCATATGGTGGTGTAAAGTTCATTAGATAATCTTTCTATCCATCCACCATCCATCCATCATCCCAACCATGTATCCATCCATTTATCTATCCACACATCCATCCATCCATCCAACCATTTATCCATCCACCCATCCATCTGTCCATCCACCCATCCATCCGTCTATCCATCTACCATCCATCTATCCATCCACCCATCCACACATCCATCTACCATCCTTCTATCCATCTACCCATCCACCCACCCATCTACTCATCCACCCAACCATCTACCCATCCATCTATCCATCCACCCATCCATCTATCCATCTACCCATCCACCCATCCATCCACCCATCCAGCTACCCATCCATCCACCCATCCATCCACCCATCCATCTATCCATCTATCTATCCATCCACCCATCCATCTACCCATCCACCCATCCATCCACCCATCCACCCATCCATTTATCCATCCATTTATCCATCCATCCACCCATTCATCCGTCCGTCCATCAATCCACCCACCCACAGTTGTTCTAAAAATAGGCTTCATA